AATTGCTTTGATATTACATATATAAGTACTACATGTGGACCACTCTCAAATTGTTCATTTCATGATAATATCTTTAATTTTCTAACTTTGGTGAATATTTTTGTCATTTTTGGTAAAAAGTGATATTTTCAACTTCTTGTTAAAAGCCGCAGGTCCAATTGCTTTGATATGACATATATAGATACTACATACATGTATGGACCACTCTCAAATTTGTTTATTTCATGATGATATCTTCAACTCTCTAATTTTGATGAATATTTTTGTAATTTTTGGTAAAAAGTGATATTTTCTTCTTGTTAAAAACCACAATCATTTATGGTTAAAAATTATATTTTTGATTTCTTGTTGAAAACAGCAAGTCCCATTGCATTGATACTATGCATATTGTTCATTTTCTAATGATATCTTCTGTTCTTTAATTGAAATGTGCATTGCTAACAGCGGAGCTATCTCAGCCGAGAGGCTGCTTGTTTTATTTGTGTTGTTCATCAGTCAACATCATGTACATTGTCCAGTCCAGTCAACCCTGTTTTATATTTTCAGACATGTTACTGAATGTCTTGTTCATCAGTTTGCAAGTCAACATCGTCTACATTGTCCAATCAACCCTGTTTTATATTTTCAGACATGTTACTGAATGTCTTGTTCATCAGTTTGCAAGTCAACATCGTCTACATTGTCCAATCAACCCTGTTTTATATTTTCAGACATGTTACTGAATGTCAGACAGTGTTCTAGCTGTGAAGGTCCATTCTTCAAACACTATAAATCCCAAGTTGTGTTCAGCAATGTTGGCGTGTTTCATAGAGTACCACTTTACCAACAGATTTGTTCACCATATTACAATACACATTGTCAGCCTGTTGATACAAAGTAGCGTTCACACTGGACAGTAGGTACATGTGATTTTTTTTTCAGTTTTTTTTTTTCAATTTTACTGTTTTAAAAAACAAAACAAATTATTCAAGAATGAACTTCTGTTATTTATTGGCTTAACTCAAATAATTGTTGTTGCCGTTGTTTAATTGATTTTGTACACAATTTTTTTTTTATAAACAAATAATGATATAGAATGGATAGACTTGTACTTCTGTTGATCAAAACAGTTTTGTGAAAGTTTTTGGTTTTGCTGATATGTTGTGTATAGATTACTTATTGTCTCTACATGGTCATACATGGGTTATTTTTACATAAACACGAATAATTGAGTTAACCTTGTCACCACCAGTTTCTTCTCTTCATCACAAATTCATAAAATAGTCCCGCTTATAGTCTGTATTTTTGTTGAGAAGATTGAGGCACAAATTTTTTTTTTTTAGTAAAAACTGAAAATTTACTTAAATTTTGTCTGTTGGCCCCAAAATTAGGGTTCATTTCAAGAAATATTGAAAAATATAAGAATAAGGTACAAAATAATTTTGGGCAAGAAAGTCTGGTGGTGAAAAGGTTAATATATGTAAAACACAACTCATTAATGTTACCCGGTAATACATTGTTCTCAGGTGAACACTAATGTGCATTCCACTTCAACCACACCCACATTATGAAACTATTGATCAATCTTAATACATTCCTAAACATATAAGAAACTCGGATTATACATTGTACATTTCTATTCTTTGTGGCAGTCAATGAGTAAATGCATGGCAATATGTCTTGTAATGAAGTATACATGTATAATACTACCCCGGTACCATGCAATTGAAAGAACATTTTTTAACTGTCTAGGTACTATTTACACATCCATGTGTGTTCATTTGTACCTTAAAAGTAATTTTATCTGAGTTTTACATAGCTCTTTTAAAACATGCAATGTATGTATAATAGTAGATGTATACTGGAACTGCTTAAAATCTGCAATTTGATGATTTTATGACATTCCGTATCATAGAACCCCAGGGAAATTTTCACTGCTACAAAGTTTGAAGATTTACAGCGATTTGTCTCTCTCAAAATTAAAGCAGCTCACACAGTACCTACATTGGATAAGTAAATATTGGGGATAACAGTAGTACAGACAAACAGATACTTATATTCTGTATAAATTAAACTTCTGTAAAGACTATATCTACAAGACATCTGCTGTGTTTCTGCATATTTTTTGTCAGAGTATGGCTTTCAAAATTGCAAATAATAAAGTGAATCAGGGTTTTATCAGATCATTCATTTGTAATACCAGTATAATATTTCTGTTCTTTGTGACCAAATTTTTCAGCCAATCAGGATTGTGCAGGATCTTTCAATTCCTCCTCGTACTTGTGGTAAAATATTTATTTACATATTTTGAGAATATATCCAGAGTTTGATATTTCTGTTTTTTGTGACTTGTATTCTTCAGGATGCCTATACTTACAAACAACTTCAGGACTCAAAATAAAAAAAGGAAATAAAAAATTGCGTTTCTGGTCAGCATGTGCACCACCAAAAAAAAAAGTAATGACTGATTTTTTTTCACTTATTTATATTTCAGTAAAAAAAAAATCAGAAACATTTGTTTGTTGTTGTGAGGCCTAATTTATTTATTTGATATTAACTTTTCATATCTAAAATTATTTATCTGTATGAATTCAGTATTTTCAAAAAATATTTTTCACATTAAGTTTTCAATTGATGCAAATATGTGTATAAATTGTCTATTCAAATATTGTCTGTGAAACAGTGAGATATTTAAGTTTAAATGCATATTAAATCAAATGTTTGGTGTAATTGTTCGTTTCTCAATGTTCTGGAATTTCCTGTAATTCCCTTGCGAGTTTTTGCATTGTTAAGCAAGCTGCCATTGCACTACTTATCATGTACATAATACTGTGTTGAAATTTGTAGCTTTGTTAATGATATGTCATGTAATTACCTTTGTTGTCTTAGGATCTGAGCAATAAAAAAAGTATGTTAGATGTGGTTACCTTATTGTGGAATCCCCAAGGTCATGACAATTTATTATCAAAATCATCATGCACCAGACTTTCTACTCATCAAATAGTGGTGGTCATGAAGTTGGACTATATCGCCACCACCACCCAGTGTGTAAATCTAAGAAACTTACTTTAATCTGACAGAGACTTTCTTTGCATTAATATGTTAACTTTGACATTGTCAATAGTGGCAGCCATCTTGAAGTACAAACCATTCATATATTCATTTGCAGATTAACTTTTTAAAAGATATTAATGTCAATTTTATGATATTCATAACAAATGTTTCACAACTGGTGTTTTATTTACAACAGACTTCCAAATAAAATAATTTTTGCTGGTCCTATGTTTAAATGTGTTTTACTTATTTTGGAGTAACTTGCGTACAAAAACATTGATATTTTCATCACATTATATACACGTGTTGATTGATTGCATTTTTCTTCTGAATGTTTTGTCTCACCAAAAGTAGATAACATTAAATCTTTGGCACTTTACTGTGCAATGTGACAAATTGTTATGCAAAGAAAATCACAGATGAAACTTAATATATATATAATAAAGGTGAACACGTACAGTTGTACTTTTAATGAAACAAAAATGTCACTTTAATAATGTACATAAATTAAATAATAGCACGAGTATCAAATTATATAATATGAGCAGAATGGATTACTGTAATATTTGTTACACATAGCTCAAATCTATTTGCCATAATGAGCATGGAGAATGTGAACATTTTCACCACTAGTGTTTGCTGTTGGTGTGTCTATAAAGACAAAGTCACAGAATTTGATAAACCAACTTGTGTATAGGATTAAAATGGTTTCTTGTAATAATTAACTCAAAAAAGGCTTTATGTTGTCTTACTGAAGGCATGATACATTCCCAATACAAGTAAACTTGACAACAATTCTGAGTTGTGCCGAAATGAAAATACTAAATCTTGTTTCACTCATCAGTCAGTTCATAAAATTCTAATTATATAACACGGATATTATACATTTTACCCCGGTGCTTTTATTTAAACATCTACACACTGGCAGTCATGCCTTGAATATTTAAAGTGACCCTGTATGTCGTCGGATCTGCAGAGGGGAGAACTCGCACAAAAACATATGTTTTTGATGGTGGCCAGTTTTTAGAGATATACTCATTTATAAGCAATTATCAAAAATTATGTGTTGTGATTAGTCATAGGTTTAGTGTTGATAAAAATACTATTGCTACAATTCTGAGCAATGTTTATGTTTAGAACTGCATATAGCATGTAGTGAAAATGATGATGAAGACCAACTGGAGAACAAAGCGACAGTAGAATTTACACTCCCAGAGTTCTCACAAAAGACTGTTTTCATTATAACTGTTCACACAAGTTTCCCAAACATATCTCTTTTGGTACTGTGTACTCCTGCTAGGTGAACAGTCTAGAATCACAACCACATATTATCTAGCAGGAGGTTTCTATGCATGGCACCAATCCTGCTCTTATTAAGATCATACTTCAAATATGTACTTTCAAAACAGATTCATCTTTGTTCCTACTTTGCAATATTTACTGTCATACAATGACAATATATTCACACTATTCAGAGCAGCATTGCAGAGACACAAATATTGATAATGTACAACATTTTAAATTGAGTAAGTTTGTATCTTGGTTGGGTCTGTGAACTTGACTGTGATAAGATAGAAGACTGCTGGCACAGGTACTAAAGCTAATAACGATGCATGTAATACTAAATCCTCTAGTTGAGTTATTGCTATTATTCCATATGCATGGATCAGCCAGTGTCCAAGCAAAATAACAATGTTCTGAGGTTTTTTCACAAGGTCTTTGAAACTCTGTAATAATATTAAAAAAAAAAGAAAGAACTACTTGGTTAATAAGTCAATGCTGTTTTCACCAAACAAAATCAAAGTAAAATATATTTTATATATATATATATAGTTATGCAGCATACAGTCAATCATTATTAACACTCAATCCAAAAAAACAAGAAATGGTTATAAATAAAAAACAAAAAAATTCAGAAGAACAGGGAAGAAATCAAAATCGCACTGTTAGCTCAGTTTTTTATTAATTACCATAATATGTAAATGTAGAAATGCATCATACCATTGCATGGTAAACAAGAGTGGGTGACATTATATACACCACAATTATACATCTGAAGTTACTCAGACCATTTGTGATCATGCAGTATTTGTTGTTTTCAAAATAATGAGCAAAACCAGGCAGAGATTCCTCAAGTCTGTTTATTCCTCTCAATTGTTTGTATATGCGAAGACACACATGCCACAAGCGCTGTACTTACCTCGATTTCTTTTTTAGCAAAATGTAGAGCACTTGTCAACAATGAAGCAATAACAATAATATATGGAAATGAATAATCTGGAAAACACAGAATTAATGAATATTATTAAAGGTAGAATAAAGGACAAATTGTTAAATCAAAAATATTTGTAGATAAGAATATCAATTTCAACATTTTTACTCAGCACAGGTAATGCACATTTCAGTATGCACATTTCAAATGCGGCATGTTGATTGGTCACATTTTTATAAATAAATCACTTATTCAAGTCACTCATAGGTCCTAACAAAATCTCTATGGGTGCCATCACCAACCAATGAAAGTCTGTCGAACCAGAGACTTCAGTGTACATTGTTTGATGCATTGAGTTGGAATATGGTTGACGAATGTGTCAAGATATCATGTCATTTCAAAAGAGTTTGCGTTATTTTCTCAAAACCTTGCAAACGCGTGACTACAAGTTCTTGTTTCTGTCCACAGTAACCCACGCCAATGAGTCATTCAGCATATTTAGTATCGTGTTTGTTTCTGTTCAACTTGAACAGTCATCGGGAGATATAAAGGAGAACATTTGTTAGGAATCACCATTTTAGAGTGTTCATATCTGCTGCGATTGTGTCAAATTATAATGTAATAGTTTATCAGTTTTCTTTGATGCAATTTCTGACCACACACCAAATCCATTGATTTCCTGACATTCGTTTGTGTATGAGAAAACATCCCATCACTGATACAGGTGCCAGTGAATAATATTTTACATTGTTTGACTCAAACAGAGTTTGACTTCAAAGTGTATTATCTGTTTTACCAACACAACAATATTAATTGCACATTGATTTACTACAACTATACAAAAATATACCGAGTAACATCAAAAGTGAACAGAAAACACCTAAAAGATTCAGTTGCCAGTTGACAAATATGGGTATGTAATTTATTAATTATTTAAGTAGGTGACATCATGTCTTACATGATTGGGTGTTTTTCAAAGGGTAAAGGTTGAGATATGCAAATTTATATGAGTAACAAAGTGGATAAAACAGACAGAGACAGTTGGAGTAAACTTTAAAGTATTTTAAATTTGTTTAAATCAAAGAGCTAATAAGTGTGTTTTTTGCAGTGCAAAAAAATTACATCTTATTCATTATGTTTTACCAGATGTTGTATATTATGCTAAAAATATGTGTTCCAAGTTTCATTTCATTTTCTGTATTTTATGAGATTTAAGCATAAAAGCTAAAATTTACTAGGGATATTATGAAGACATAGTCATGTTTTTATTTGGCAGAACTGTATACCTCATGAGGACTGAAAATATGAAAGACGTCAAGGAAATTTTTATTCAAGATCAAAATCAAGTTGGCATGCAAATTAAATCTTTTATGTCTTGTCATCATTACAAATTGGTGAACGTATACCTGAGAAACCAGTAGGACATACTAGAACAAAACAAACCATGTCCAGTTTCTGGTTGCTCAACAAAACTGAAATTAGTCAGCTATCGATCCATTCAGAAAAACAAAATGACCTGCGTTGTATTATATTCAATGTATGTATGAATGAAATTTGTCTGTCATTTTGCTATCTTGAATTTGAGTGTCAAAAACGAATATGTGTGCATATCAAGTTTGAAAGTGATTGCATGGTCAAAGCACATCAGAGAAATGGCTCCTGAATAGCTTTTATTAAAAGAAAATGGCTGTCAGATGGCCATTATGTTATGTCTGCTAGATATAGTAGAACTAATTATGTCAAGTGCTGGTCTAAACTAAAACATATGAAAGAAAATAAATACTCAATTGGTCTACATATCGATATGAAAACCCAGCAACGATGCATTGTGAATCCCTTTCTACTTGTCACTATAGACAGTCGATAACACACGTACCTCACCATCTAGCACCCCAGCCCCTGCCCCACCATGTACTTACAGATTAGTCCAGCACCTACAGCCTGTGTAACAGTTAATATTGGTAGGAAATACAGAGCTGCGTATATTGACGGTTTACCAAAACCAGTGCACAGCTTTGTTGCTAACAGAGGCCTCACAAACATCAGACATACCAAGTCAAACGCGTAGTAGATGAATACTATTGTGTACCTGTAAAACATAAGAATATATATTGTAACTATTTTTTTTACTCAACCATACATTAGATTAAATCAGATTATTGCAATCATTTTTTGCTTAGTATTAAATATTTTTATAATTTATTGATTGTACTACCTGTACATCATAACAATTTAACATCATTTGTTGCGACCAATGAAAATGAAGAAAAATAAGGGGAAGTCCAGATATTCCATGTTTGGGACAATATGACACGGCTGTATGTGTGGCTACTTTCCTATCATAATGTTACTTTATTACCATCATTATCTTTCAGCATAATAATTTAAGGTTATCGTGGCTAGTTTTTCCTATAACAAATAATGATCAAAATATTGAGAGTAATATCAAGCTGGATAAAAACTAAAAAAGGTCAAAACGTAATGGAAATTTATGTTGAAAATGAATTTTACCTGACAGTGAAGGTAATAGTCACAGGACAGCTATATACAGTGCTAAATTCAGTTTTGGTTTTGTAGCATTCATTATGAAAACCATATGCAATATATCTATAAGACTACAGTCACTGTAAAAGTTAAACACAATCACAGTGTATTCAATACTGTATGTATACTTACAATGGATAGACTGCTTCATGCGTACAGTGTAGTGTTGTAGTATAACCAGGTTTGGGATTAAATAACATGGTGTACCAATCACTGAGACCAGTCACTGTACAAGAACGAATTTGAAATGAACCTGAAAAATATTATATAAAGATATAGACAATTTTATTTGTAAGAGCCGAGGTACATTTATTTAGGAATTAAATTCAGTCACAATTCAAAGATTTTTGAAAACTATAAAATTGATATGGTTTATTTAAGCATTAACTCTGCACTGGACACAGGTATACCACAAGGTATGAAACAATTCATGACATACATGCATAAGTCATCGGTGAGCGAATATATGAAGTATTTTGCAATACTGTGTGATATATCTGCCTTAAGATTATTTTCCTGTAGTTTTTAGCAATGGAAACAACACAAAGACACTCATATTGAAAAAAAATAAACAAGCCATGCATGGCACAGTCCCTGTTAGTTATCAAATTTAAGATATAAAGCATTTAACAGATATGGCTCTAGAAGCCCAATCATTAAAACAAAATGACCGCCAGTCAGCCATTTTGAATCCAATCTAAAAAATAAAATGACGTGCATCAGGAACCCGTAATGTCTAATGTATGTACCAAGTTTGAACGAAATCCATCCAGAAATGCCAGAAATGCTTGATATTTGATGATTTTTTAGCACAAAAATGACCACCATTCGATCATTTTGAATAGGATCATCAAACCAATATATCTGTACATCTATGACATGATGTATAATGAATATTTAAAATTTGAACATAATCAGTCAAAACAAGTCGAAGATATGGGTCTAGAAGCCCGCCAGTCGGCCATTTTGAATGTTTTCTGAAAAACAAAATTATTTGGATCATGGTTCCATAATGTCTAATGTATATATCAAGTTTGAACAAAATCCATCTGTAAACAGCCGAGAAATGCTTGATTTTTATGATTTTTTAGCACAAAAATGGCCGCCATTCGGCCATCTTGAATCAGATCGTAAAACAATATGATGTGCATCAAGGTCCTACAGTGTGTAACCTATATATACCAATTTTGAACAAAATCCATCTGTAAACAGCCGACAAATGCTTGATTTTGATGATTTTTAGCACAAAAATGACCGCCATTCGGCCATCTTGAATCAGATCGTGAAACAAATTGACGTGCATATGTATAATATCATGTATGATGTATGTGTGAAGTTTAATTGTGATTGGTCCAGGCATTTCTAAGATACACACACAGACACAAGGAGGTCAAAACATAAGTCCCCGTTTTCGGACTGCGTCTGAACGGGGACTAATAAACTGCAATCTGGTTAGGTTAGGAGTAAAATATAATATAACATAAATAGAAATTATGTTTCTTTACAAATTTTATTTCCTAGCAGACAACATAATAAACCTATTTAAAAAAATATCAGCTGCTATACAGCACCATACACACAACTACAGTGTATAGAGGCAGAACATTTGTTGTCGCTGTGATGCTCACTCAAGTAAACCAGTGCAGAAGGCCGTCGATTATGCTACTTTCACTATTTTGGTAAGTGGCTGGATATGGTAAGGATGTAGTAGAAGTTTTTCAGAAGTAAAATGCTTACTGTATTCACCCCTGAAGACATCTAAAAATCAAGTTTTATTGGCAAGTGAGTCTGAAAATGTTCGTGTCACAGGAAACGGAACACTTACCGATATAAGAACTTATCACAACAGAGATAAACAGCAGAAAACACAACATTGACTCTAATTTGCATAAGAACCAACAAAAACATTACACATGCATGCATACTGTAAGTTCACAATGCATTGACTAGCGAAGATGCATATGAAGAGAAAAAAAGGACCTGTGAGATAAAAATTTAATACAAAAAAGCAAAGATAGGATCGAGTACCATGCACGAAAGCAAAGGTTGCATTACTAAGCAGTGAGTCAGACAGTGAGCTTAATGCGACTGAGGATACCACACCAAAAAAACTCTCCACTGAGTTTGTTGTTGTTATCGCATTCTCCTGATTGGAGCCAGGAATTTGAAACTGGTAGTGTCAAGGGGTCCTTGAGATTTGTGGATCTTCACATGCTTAATACGGAACTGTTGAAGCGAACGCTCTGTTTTCGGTGTGGGAGCAGTAAGATACAGATAGGCGAATCGTCGAGGCACAGATGGGGGTCTCATTCAGAATGCAGCCCCACACCAACCGACTGTTTTCTATTTTCCTCAAAACAAGAAAACCACTTTCAAATTAATACAAAATCAGTATTGTCAGGGCAGTTATTGAAACTCGCATTACAGTCTGTTTTGAAACCAGAAATTGAGTAGTACATCAATACAAAAATAAAGCTCATATGTTGTCCAATATTGCATGGCAATGAACCCTCATTTAAAGTGCCTGTGCAATGCCCACCCACACGCTTCCCATTTTAGATCTGTGCCCCACTGAAATGGGCAATTTTTTTGCTGAAAATGATTACTCGTATCCAAGTAAATTTGAGATATTTCCCGTGCTGTAGCCACGCCCACCTATCCTGAAACGGTCGACTGTTTCCAGATTTCCGATTCTCGCCGAAAGTGCGCCACCAAATGCAAAAATCTGAGAGGAAGCCATACCCCTGGGCCGTACTTTTTTATCACTGTGTCATTCAACGTACAACTGTAC